TGGAATTTTGTCTTTATCCTAATCGTTTGATCTAGATATCCAATGTTGTGGGCACTTTTAAATAGAGGATCAAGGCTTGATCCCTAACTCATAATTATCCCTACAGGGTATGGCCATGCACTACTGGATATCGAAGAGAAATTCAATTTATCCGTAGATCTGATTAAGATAGAAATCAATGCTTTATCCTGACATTCATAACACAATAGTTCTCACTTTTGTTCTTTTATTCAAAGTTATAATAATACATGCTTTTGCTTTCATCATAATACATGCTTTTGGTGAAAACAAACATTATCTGTGGCAAGTCGGGTCCCACCAAAATTAGGTTCAAGATAAACAAACACCCATAAGTATATGTATGGTGTAGACAAGACTAAATGTATACCATGTAAATATGTCTAAATTTTAAATTATAAGTCTGAGTATGAAATTTTTATTTTAGGAATTTTTTCCCAGCAAAAACCAGTCTGTGTTAGATACAGCTCTACTGGACGTGAAGAGTGCTTCAACCCTTTTGTCAAATGTGCCCTAATTGGTGAAGATTGGTGGCCCCGGGCAGAGCCTGGCGTCGCAGTCTCCACAAAATGCTGAAAATGACCCAGAGTTTAGGCAGAAATTGGGTTTAAATTATTCAATAAATCCTGAAAACTAGACTAAAATTGACATCAATTATCACTCTACCTTCAGCCCTCCCAGGGAAAAAAGCAGTTTTAACAGTTTTGTCAAATTTTACCTGAAAGACCACTAAAGTTGACATAAAAATGCCAATTGGTATAATTGTATAAATTTAGGGCCATGAAATGGTTTGGACCGGGGTACGGGAATGAAATGGTTTCTAGGAAACTGGGGAAAGAGCCCGAACTCTGTAACTTTGTCTTTAATTTTCTTTATGTGTTTAAGAAGTGCATCTATAAGGCTGTAAAGTGTACAAATGTACAAAGTTTTACATCTTTTTAGCATCTCATTTTCTAGAACTTTTCCTTAGACATTGAAAATAATAGAGGTAAAGAAAATTATAATTTTTTTTTTGCAAAGTAAATGAATTCTTGCAACAAACTCTTGTTTTCTAATTTTTTTTATCTTAGCAGCCCAATGCTGTAGACTTATGATATTTCAAACTATAAATTCTGTTAGATCAAATAGTCTAAGTTTGAAATATCAAAGATTTAAATCATCAGGTTGGGCAGCTATAGGGATTAGAAAAGTTGAGTTTGTGGCAAAAACTCAATTCCTTTTTCCCTTTTTAAAAAAATTTTCAAGTAAAGAGATCGTTCACGAACATTAAATGCAATTAGGTATTAACCATTTATTTCAGCCTACTTATTCAGTAGAATCGGGCTAATAATGTTAGAGTCCGCACAGAGAGATACAATGAGCCCTATAAAAATTTCTGTGGAAGACGAAGACGACTTACTACTAAAGTTAAGATTGTGAAAACTCAAACGATCATGAAACAAAGAAATTCTGTAGTGTTAAATACTGCATTTCAATTAATAATTTACATTTCAAGCTACATACATAATTTGCTTTAATGTCGCCTTTATATTCAACAGTTCTGTGAGCCCCCCTGCAATGCATTATAAAGATATACTTTTATCTTAAATTGTTCCCATTTGAACTACTCCTCTAAGAATGGGTTAATCTGTATAAAATTTATATTATTAGGATTTATGATAACATATTTCCCATGAACAAGAAAAATAGGAAAGAAAAATAGAAAAGAAAACAAGCAAAAACAATAGCAAAGAAAAATAATAAAGAAAAATAGTAAATAAAACAACTGAAGAAAAATAGTAAAGAAAAAATAGTAAAGCAAAATAGTAAAGAAAAATAGTAAAAAAACAGTAAAGAAATTAGTAAAGAAAATTAGGACCAAGTATATCGTTTTTAATGAGTTAACGATCCTTTCCTTTAAAGTATAATATTTATTTAATGAAAAAATGACTGAATATATTTAAATACGATTGGAAATGTTGAAAAAATAACGTTATATCGAACTATTTTTGCTGAAACTGAAAGAAATGAAAAGAAATTTATTTTAAATGATTTCCCATTATACTTGATGAACCTATCGTTCCTCTTCAATTATATCTTATATTGTTTTACAGTTTTCTCATCCTAGAAAAATAAACAATATTTTTTTTTCAAATAGGACTGTTCCAGAAAAAGAATATTTTACACTGTCAAAAAATATGTTAAGGAATAAAATTGATTTATTCTGTAACAAAAAAATGTACTTATTTAGTTTGCTGTATGCATCTATCTACAGTGAAACCCTTAATAACGAATACATCGAAAGAATTCATCAAATGTCGTATTCTTCACTTTCTGATACTGGAATGTTGCAGATATTTAGTTTTTTAACTAAATGATTATATGGAACTCTTTAAAGCTGTTCCTGCATATTCATGGCTATTTATTTATTTTCGCAAATACTGAAATTTACGTGATATAGTATAAAACTCATTGAAAAATTATCATTATCATTATCAGACGACATTTGATAAATTCTTCAGATGTATTCGTTATTAAGGGTTTCACTGTATATAAAGTTGTAATCTCTATTTGTCTGTTTGTTCGTTTTCCGATCATAACTCAGGAGCCCCAATTTGCTTTAAATTTTGATTGGGAACTCGGGAGAGCCACGGGAATATAATTTGCTTGGTTTTGAGATTCTGAGTTGAGTGGGTCGACTTCTAAAGCGAAAACTTAGTTTCCCGGTGAAAAAAAACGACCAAGAGCGGGTAAACGGTGGGAGTAACTATGAGTACCTTGGGCAACGCTGGGTTCCCAAGCTTGTGTATTATATAACGTTTTACAATCATCTATCAATATGTCTTCTTCGCATCTGTCTTGTCTGTCTATCTGTCTATCATTCTACCTGTCTACTTATTATCTGTCTAACTGTCTACTTATACTGTTTAATTATGTACAGAAAGCAGGTGTACAGTCCGCGCACGCGCTTAATAACAAGAATTAGGCTCATTACCAGAGATCAAATTAGGCTTCAGCTTAGATGCGCCCAGGCGCACGATATTGACAAAAATTGTCAATTGATTTTTTGGATGATAATGTAATTAACATGATTATTTTGTATTACATACTAAAATAATAATAATATAAACAATTGGTTAAAGTGGAAAAGCGCGTTTAGGATAATTTAAAAATTGGAGAGATTAACTGCTTTACCTCACATGCACTCACGCAGCCTTTAGGCTTTAAACTTTTTGTTTTAACATGCTTGTCGATGTTGTCAGGAGTTGTCTGTCATCTGCAGATTTTCTGTCTCTAGCTAGTAGATAAGTCTGTGAATTGTATGTCGATCGACATACAATCTCGATGTACATTACTTAAATGTGTTTCTGTTTTGTCTGTTTCGGGGTTTTCTATCAATGAACCTGTAACAACGTCTATCCTAGCTATAATAATTATACTAGTTGATGAAAAGAAGAAACTAGATGTCTAGCTAGATATCTAGTGGATAAAAAGAAGTACCTAGATGTCTAGCTAGATATCTAGTGGATGAAGAGGATGCTAGATGTCTAGCTAGATATCTAATAGATGGAAGAGGAAGCTAGATGTCTAGCTAGATATCTAGTGAATGAAGAGGAAACTAGATGTCTAGCTAGATATCTAGTGGATGAAGAGGAAGCTAGATGTCTAACTAGATATCTAGTAGATGGAAGAGGAAGCTAGATGTCTAGCTAGATATCTAGTAGATGGAAGAGGAAACTAGATGTCTAGCTATGTATCTAGTGGATGGAAGAGGAAGCTAGATGTCTAGCTAGATATCTAGTAGATGGAAGAGGAAGCTAGAAGTCTAGCTAAATATCTAGTGGATGAAGAGGAAGCTAGATGTCTAACTAGATATCTAGTAGATGGAAGAGGAAGCTAGATGTCTAGCTAGATATGTAGTAGATGGAAGAGGAAGCTAGAAGTCTAGCTAGATATTTAGTGGATGAAGAGGAAACTAGATGTCTAGCTAGATATCTAGTAGATGGAAAGAGAAAAACTATATGCTAGCTAAATATCTAGTGGATGGAAATAGGAAATTAGATGTCTAGCTAGATGTCAAGCTAGATGTTTAGCTATATATTTAGTGGATGGCCGGAAAAGGAAACTAGATGTCTACCTAGAGGTCTAATGGATGGAACTAGGAAGCTAGATGTCACGAATTTTTTTGCCCACCTCTGGGTGATTTTTGCCCCCCTCCCCCCCATGTCCTTAAAAATGCTGTTATTCTAAATTAAGTCTACTGCATGCCCTTTATGTAGTCCAATGTAGTCCCAATCAAGAAATATATAATATAATGTATTCCTCTGCATAGTTCTGTATTACTCTCTGAAGTTCTGATTAGTCTCCTGAGACTACTTCCCTTTGTAGTCCACTGTAGTCCCAATTCAAGGACTATATATTATTATGTATCCTTCTGTATAGTTCTGTATTACTCTCTGAAGTCCTGAGCAGTCTCATGAAGACTATATATCATTAGCGTGCTCTTTATTCTTCCTTAATCCTCTCCTAATGTCATCTACCGTGACCTTCATGGGGTTGTGGGAAGACATTCCAAGCAATTGCATAATGCACATACTATAATTGTGTTATCAAGTAGGGGGGGGGGTAGATAAAAGGGAAATACTAAGATAAATTTGAAAATTGTCAAATACTTTTTAAGGGATCACCCCCACCCCTGTGTACGCGTTTGAGCTAGATGTTTGGCTAGATTTCTACTGGAGAGAAGCGAGATATCTATTGGATGGAAAAGCTAGATGTTTAGAAAACTAGAAAATGATTTCCTGAATTTTGTGCTGGGCATCTCATCTCTCCCTAGAACTCTCAAGTGAGAGAAATTTTATTATCTCCGTCCCCAACCCAACCCGACCTCTGCTCTGCACCAGGAGCAAGGTGTTGGACCGGAACCTGCCGTGCCGGACCACCCACCCAACTCCCAGCGGCCCCTAGCGGCATCTAGAAACCGGAATTTGTTTTTCTGTGTCCTCAGTTTGGTCATGATCAGGGTTCAAGTCTGAGCACAGACCGGAAACGGAAACCTCGGCGGACGGAAGTTGCAGCCTCAGAATCGGAAGTAGCAACCTCAAACCCGGAAGAAAGAGATTAGCGTCTTAAACCCTGGGTTTGCACAGTGATCTTGGATCGATGAGGGGATCAGAGGAGTGGATTTAGAGCAATTAACAATCATATTTACATTGTTAATCCTTGGGATCGATTTAAGATGAATGAAGCAATTGAGATATCTTTAAAGATTGTGTTCTGAATCCAGTTCAAGAAATATATATAATATATATGTAAGCTCTGGATGTTTGTTGTAAAGAGTTGATCTAGTGGATGTAGAGGTTGCGTGAATATCTTAAGCAATCAGTCAATAGAATGTTCAACAAGGAAGAATTAAATTCAGGTAAATGCAAAATATTTAACAATTATTTATTCATTTATTTTCAGTATATAATTTCATTATATAAATATAGAAAGTGTAAGCTTAGTGTTGTATGTACTTGTACAATGTGCTATTCAGAACGTAAACTTTTTTAACTAAATCATTAAATAAGCAATTAAAAGACTATATTTAAGACAAAGAACTTATTTTAACCTTGGAATTTTTACATTTTACGAATGTTAGGTGGTCTGCACTGCAGTCTCATCCTTTGTGTGTAGCCCTGTTCTTAAATGTGTTTGTAAAGAAAAACATGTTTAACTATGTGAATACTGTATGTTGCTGTTCTTGTACTAGGAATGTATGTAACATGTTTAACTATGTGAATACTGTATGTTGCTGTTCTTCTACTAGCTAGGAGTGTATGTAACATGTTTAACTATGTGTGAATACTGTATGTTGCTATTCTTGTACTAGAAATGTATGTAACATGAGTCAAGATATTGTTTAACATAAGAAAATTAAAGTACACCTACAGAGCTAATAACTTTTTAACCTGTTAAACTTCTTACATGTAGATTACTTAATCTTTCATAAGTCAAAGTTTTGCCTAAAAAGAGATCATTTAAAAGTTTCCAACTCAATTCAATAATTAAGTTCCATTTTTCCAGGATGTCCAAGTACTGCATGTTTTGGGTGTGGAAAGAATATTTTGGACAGGTTCCTACTCACTGTACTGGACAAGGTAAAAAACAATATCAACAAAACAAAAAAACTTTATTTTCTTTTCGCTTGGCATTTAAACGAGATAATTTGAGAAAAATAATAATAATGTGCGGCTAAAAAAAACGTTGCAATGAGTTCACTGTTTTAGTGTCTTTATTTTAAATTTCTTATTTGTAATCGAATAAATTTCCTATTCCCCAAGCTATTCGTAAAATAAAAACAAATCACAAGGTCAGGTCAGGTCAGTAATGTTGCATAACTTTGACCGTATCCTTCTGTCTAGTCTACAGTGTTCAATGTGCCATAGAAAATTGAAAGTTTCTGTTTTATTGTTTACAGAATTTTTAAATAGTCGATTTTCATGTTTGTATCAAGAAGAATATGATTTTTGTATATCTTAGACAAAAATAATAATTAAGACATGAAAAAAAGAATTTAAGGTTTTGTTATGTTTTTTTATTTCAAAAATGCATAATCCACAATTTCAACGAATCAATATTTAGATAATGTTTACAGAGTAAAATTGTGTGAAAAACTTTTTTTAAATCTTTGTTTGATTAGACCTGGCACGTAGACTGTGTAAGGTGTCAGCAGTGCGGGGATTCTTTAGAACAAAAATGTTTCTCAAGAGATGGAAATATATATTGTAAAGACGACTTCTACAGGTTCAGTTTTACATTCATTTTATCAACTCTAAATTACGATATCAAAAAACAAAAGTTGGATAGCTGCCAAATAATCGACAAAAATCGCTTATTTGGCAGTCATACAACTTTTCCTGTCAATAAGTGATTGCTGTTGTATATAAGCGATTGTTTGCAATTATTTGGTAGCGATCCAACTTTTGCTGCCGAATAAGCGATTTTTTTATATCGTTATTCAGAGTGTATAAGTGTAACTAGAAACAACGTGTGTGTTGTTAATCCCACCTGGAATAAGCGAAGCAGTTATCCTTTTTATTGTCCGTTATCTTACTCGAACATGTTGATTTATTGATATTTAAAGAAAAAAATAAGTTGTTAAAATGTCGACTCTCTTAGGGGATATTAATTAGATATTTTTTACTTTTATTTTTTTTGCATGGAAATCACGTCCAGTTAGCGATTTTCAAATCGTTTGCATTACTATAAGTGTCAATATAATGAAGACGACTTTCGATTTCAATTTTGATTTATATCAAGCTGTTAAACAGAATGGATACACATAAACATAAAAGTCAAGAGAAGCTGTCAATTTAAAAAGCTTCTCTTTGATTGCTTGTAAACTTCGCCTACCACTATAGCTGTATATAATTAAGCGACACTCAAAATTAGTTGACACTCCCTTTAATGATGTTTTATCTAGGCTGTACGGACCTCGATGTGGAGGATGTTTGGAAGGTATATCTCCTACAGATATGGTTAGAAGGGCCAGAGAGAAAACATATCATCTTGCTTGCTTTACATGCGCGATATGCAGGTAAACAACAAAACTTGAAACATCTAGAAAAATAGGAAAATAAGTTAAATAATTCTTTAAAAAAACTGAATCCAGCAAGAAGCATAAAATTAAATACAAACATGGAAAACAGAATGCCTGTAGACATAGTAGTAAAATTATTTTAAAAGGAACTAAACAAAAGAAAAAAGTTTTAAAGGAACCAAAGGAGAACGAAATAAAGAAGAGAGACAAATAAGTTTAAAAGAAATTAAAGGAAAACGAAATGAAGAAGAGAGAACGATAAGTTAATAAAGAAAAATAGGAGAACGTAAGGAAATAAGAAAATAGAAAAAATAGTAAAAGAGGCATGAAGAAGAGAACAAAATAGAACGAAAAAAATTCTAAATACAGCATGCAAAGAGAAATTAGAAATTAAGAAAGAAAAATAGCTCTAGAAGAGCAGAAAAGTAAGAGGAAACAAGTAAAAAAAAATGGAGAAACCCTAAGAACAAAAAAAAATAATTTGGTAAAGAAAATAGAAGGAAATTGAATAAAAGAAAGGGTCCAAAATCCAAATACTATTTTTAAATTCAGCATAATTTATTTTATATTCAGGAAGCAGTTGTCCACTGGAGAGGAATTGTTTTTCATTGACAGAGATAGATTTATTTGTAAAGACGATTTCAATAATATTAAAGCACAAGGTAAGAAGGATTCCAATAATATCACAAGGTAAGAAGGATTTCAATAATATTAAAACACAAGGTAAGAAGGATTCCAATAATATTAAAACACAAGGTAAGAAGGATTCCAATAATATTAAAGCACAAGGTAAGAAGGATTCCAATAATATTAAAACACAAGGTAAGAAGGATTTCAATAATATTAAAACACAAGGTAAGAAGGATTGCAATAATATCAAAACACAAGGTAAGAAGGATTCCAATAATATCAAAACACAAGGTAAGAAGGATTCCAATAATATCAAAACACAAGGTAAGAAGGATTTCAATAATATCAAAACACAAGGTAAGAATGTTTTTAATAATATTAAAACACAAGGTAAGAAGGATTCCAATAATATCAAAACACAAGGTAAGAATGTTTTTAATAATATTAAAACACAAGGTAAGAAGGATTTCAATAATATTAAAACACAAGTTAAGAATGTTTTTAATAATATTAAAACACAAGGTAAGAAGGATTGCAATAAAATTAAAACACAAGGTAAGAAGGATTGCAATAAAATTAAAACACAAGGTAAGAAGGAGTCCAATAAAATTTAAACACAAGGTAAGAAGGATTGCAATAGCATTAAAACACAAGGTTAGAAGGATTGCAAGAACATTAAAACACAAGGTAAGAAAGATTTTAGTAATAATAAAACCAAGAGTTGAATTTAAATTCAACATGGTATACAATACACATCTTTTACAAAAGTTAAAGATGAGAAAGAAATAATTTCCTCCTGTTCCTTGATTTTTAAAATATTAGCTTTAGTTTTTAAACATTTTTTACGTTAATAGTCTCCTCTTTCTTAGTGCAGTTTTTAATACAGGAAATTTTTACATTCTGATGTCTATTGGAATCCCTTTTTTTTGTTACACTTTGCATTTCTCATTGGAGACCACATTAGATCTCAATAAAGATATCATTTGAGAACAAATATAAGAAAGTATATTTTTTTATCAAATACTAAAATATATCCGACTAATGAAAGAAAACAGTTTCATTTATATAAGGTTTCAAAAAATAGTTCTGAAATGAAAATCTAAAAATATGTAAATATGAGAAGTTGATCCAGCATTATGGTTCATGTGCACTAAACTACTGATGGGAAATTTATTCATGGAAGGGGTCAGATTTAATGTCTGCTAGAATCCATCCCATCAATAAAAAAGAACAGAAAGGGAAATTTATATATTCTGACTTTTCCTTTCTCTTTTTTTAAGGAGAACAGAAGATGAAAAATCATTAATTTCAAGTTAATTTTATATATAGTTTAGAATTCTGCATATTTTCAATATTGGATCTCAAAATCTATTATTAAGAAGAATAAAGAAATTTTGAATTTGTTATTTTCCTCTATATTCTAGTCTATTTAATTTTAAACATTTTTGATTTTTTTATCTAATATAATATCATGTCTTTTTTTACCTGTGTCCTATTTAGAATATGGATACTCTGATGATGAAGACGACCTGGAGGAAAAGATATGTTCTCCGTCCCTCACTTCGTCCTGTGTCACCCCCCTCCCTGCCTCCCTCCCCCCCTCCCTCCCCCTCCTCCACTCCCCAACCACTCCCAAGCTGATGGAGTCCAACAACAACACTATCAGCTCCTTGGAGGCAACAGGGAACAGTATAACAAAAATTAAAACAGAGGTAAAAAATAAAATTCTTTTCTGAGAAAATCATATACTTATAATTAAAGTAGTAATCTCTGTTTGTCTGTTTTTATGTCCAATCTTAGCGCATGAACCCCTTGACCAATTTGCAAAACAGAGATAAACAGATGTAAATAGATGTGAATTATAGATGTATTAGGATGTAAATAGATGTAAATAGAGGTAAATATATGTAAATAGATGTAAATAGATGTAAATTATAGATGTAAATAGATGCAAATAGATGTAAATAGATGAAAATAGATGTAAATTATAGATGTAAACAGATGAAAAAAGATATAAATTATAGATGTAAACAGATGTAAATAGATGTAATTAAATAGATGTTAATTATAAATGCAAACGAGCTGTTAAAGGCTTCAGAAAACGATAAAACAAATGTTTTGAAGAAAAAAAGATAATTTTGTCCAAAAAAATTAGAAAATCCCACTAGGAATGTTCCCCTGGATATGTTTTTTTTTTAATTGCCTACTGTAGTTTTGGCCTTCCGGTAACACAAACATAGCTAGCAAGTTTTCATATTTGATCTTTATACTTTTTTTGAACCGTAGTTTTTTTTCTCTTGAAAATGATCGTTTTCTCTGTTTTAAAGATTGTTTTCAGTTTTGCAAAACAATGTAAAACGATAGTTTTTACTTTCGAAAAAAATGGTTTAGAAAACAGTAGCTCCGTATAAAACTTTTAAAAGCTGTCTTCAATTTGTTTTTAAAACGTTTCTTTCGTTTTCATTTATTTTTATCGTTAATGAAACGATCAAATTTGTTTTTTAAAAGTGAAAAAACTGCCCATCCCTACGTCTCCAAACTTCTTATTTTTTTTTGAGAAGAGACTAAAGGGTCACATTATCAAATGCTAGGTTAAATTTTTAAGAAAATGTTTAACATCCAGCACATCCTAAATCTTTTTTTAAATATGATTAACATATTTGGGACGCGGACCAGAACGTTAATGTTGATTATGAAAACAAAAGTAAAAAATTTAAAAAGTAAAAAAGTAAAAAAAAAGTAAAAAAAGTAAAAAAGGGAAGGACATGTTACCGAAATTAAAAGTGTCTGTGTTTAGGACGGAGAATACGGAGATCAGGACGGGGATCTTCAGGACAAACTAGAACAGGACAATAGATCACCAGATCCAGATCCAGGAGGTACAACTTAACCCACCTGTGCCCCTCTCCCCCTCTTCATGAACATTGTAAGATCAAAGTTCTGTCTACACTGTAAACAAAAATGTGCTTATTTAAACACAAAAAAATCCATAAGATTGTTCAAAATACTCCTTTCAAACAGAATTTTGAAAGAAGCTTTTTACAGCTCTGAAATATTCATATCCAGTGCTATACAGCAAAAATATAAGGGTTGGATAAGGTCAAACCAAAGGTAAAGTCCTTGGCGACATTTTCGGTTTGTTCTCAGGTCTGAAAAATTGACGCAATTCTGTCAAAGCTGTATCAAAAACTGTCATAAAGTCAAAATAAAGTAAATTAGTAAGATTGAAATTATATATGTTTTAAAATCTTAACCTATTTTATTAAAGAGCTTTTGAGAAAATCAAAATGTTTTGAATTTTACTGTGAACTGGATAAATTTTTTTCATACTTTTCTGTAAAATCAAGACTAAACAAAAGGAGCTAAAAGGTCACAAAGCCTTGCTAGTAATGTCAAATATATATATTTACTACGTTTGCTATGTAGTTTGCTATGTATATTTAGCCGCGAAATGCAAAAGAACTTTTGTAATTCAAGGTTTGCTGCAGAGTTGTTTTAATTTTTATTTCCAGTTCCATGAAACCTTGTCAGTCTAATAAGGTTTAATTTAAACAGATATAAATGCAATCAAATCAAATAGAATCATTTTCTTTTCTTCATTTTTAATTATAAATTGATTTTTGATTATAAATATTTTGAGGAAAGAGAAGAGGACCAAGGACAACTATAAAAGCAAAACAATTGGAAATTCTTAAAACTGCATTTCAACAAACTCCAAAACCAACAAGGTAAAAATATTATCATCAATATTCATTAACATCATTATTGTTTTCATTCTGATTATTTTCTATTATTCTCGTTATTATTGTTATTATTCTCATTATTATTGTTATTATTCTCATTATTTTTGTTATTATTCTCATTTTTTTCGTTATTGTTATTTTTTTGAATACTTTCATCATTGTTCTTATGATTATTTTTATGATTGTTATTATTATCACTATTCTTATTAATATTATTAACATTTTTATCATTATTAGTATCATTATTATTATTATCATTTTATCATCCCTTTCATCATCAATATTATCCTTGTTATAATTATTATAATTATTATCATTATTATTTTTTAGCATTATTACTATTATCATTATTACTATTATCATTATTACTATTATTATTTTAGGCATATAAGAGAACAGTTGGCTAAGGAGACGGGATTAAGTATGAGAGTAATTCAGGTAAAAAATATAAAAATATAATTTTTTAAATAACAGATTAAATTTTTTATTTTTTTCCAGGTTTGGTTCCAGAATAAAAGGTCTAAGGAGAGAAGGATGAAACAATTGTCCTCAGGAATGATACCTAGAGGATTTTTCGGAGGTATTCATTTTTACCATCTTTATCATCTTATATATTTAGATTATTTTTATCATTTTTAAGTTTTCTCATCCTATAATTTTATCATATTTATCAGTTTTCTCATCCTATAATTTAATCATATTTATCAGTTTTCTCATCCTATAATTTTATCATATTTATCAGTTTTCTCATCATATAATTTTATCATATTTATCAGTTTTCTCATCCTATAATTTTATCATATTTATCAGTTTTCTCATCATATAATTTTATCTTCCTTATCATATTTATCATATTCAATTTATCTTTATCATTATTATCAATTTTATCATCTTATGATTTCTTTATATTTATCATCATAATCTTAATTAACATTTTATTAAATTTATTATTTTTATCATCCTTATCATCTTCATCATGTTTATTATCTATTTATTATTTCATCATATTTATCATGCTTATCCCTGTTATTATCATCTTAATTTTCTGCTCTTGGTCATCCTACAAATGTTGATTATTTTTATCATCTTCTTAATCAAAAGTGCATGGTCATAAAATTAATTTTCGGGACTTTGTGCGGTTTTTCTATGTTTATTTAAAATTTTAAATAAATTAAAAATGTTTTTTTAGGTCCGTTCGGAGATTTTGGATACGGAGGCAGATTTCCAGGTCATCCAGACTTCTTTCCACCTGGTCATTTATCCTTTCTACCCGGTCATCCAGGTAAAGACAGGGTTACAACCCGGCCTTTTATCATTCCTACCCGGTCATCCAGGTAAAGACAGATAGAGTTACCCCACCCGGTTATTTATCCTTATATTTATCATTCAGTTAAAGACAGAGTTATTTGGTCATTCATCATTTCTACCCGGTCATAAAGGTAAAGATTTTGGGTCACCCACCGGTCATTTATCATTTCTACCCGGTCATAAAGGTAAAGATATTGGGTCACCAACCGGTCATTTATTATTTCATACCCGGTCTATCCGGATGAAATGGTGCAAAGCGCCCCCAAATATTTGTTATATTCATAGCCATATATTCCATATCAGCAAAATAGAAATAGAAACTTCCATCAATCGTCCAATAGTCGATTAATTTCTTTTGATTAGTCCGTCTAGATAATTAAAATCATTCCCATTGGTTTCCCCGCGGTTCTCGAAGGAAAATAGATTAAAACCAAACAAAAATGTTTTCTGCTCCAGGCTCCCGTAATAGCCTGGAGCTAGACTAGTGATGGTTTAACTTTACAACTCATCTGTTCCTCTCTGTGTACACTGATACACGTTGATCAGATTAACTCCGATAGATCCTCCCCACTCCTTATCTTCCCCCTCAAAACACCCCTCCCCTTCCCCTCTGGCAATGTTGATTCAAATTATTGTTCGGAATTTTGTATTAAAATAGATTATTTTTATAATGAAAGTGTATTTTGGTTGTCAATTTATTTTATGTTTAAATCGCGCTTTAATGACAGTTATTGAAAATAAAAGACTTGAGAACTGCTAAAAAACTGTTCCTTATATTTCTAACCTTAATTAAAGTTATTGTTTTCTATTACTGTTTTAAGTTTTTTATATATCACGCCCAAAAAAATAATAATTTTTTTCCAAAAAGCTAAAATTTCAGAGAAGAGAAATACGAGGTTATCTAATGGGCTAGTTTTACCAAAAGTACAGATTGGGAAAATAAATTTCTTTGATCCTTATAACTACGCAACGTGTAGAGTTTCTATATTTCAAACTCTGAATTATTTTGGATCAAATAATCTAAGTCTGAACTATCAAAAGTGTACACCTCATGTTCCAAAGAAATTGAGATTTAGTTAGCAGAAAAGACTCAATTTCTTGAGTAGAAACAAATATTCATGATAATGTTTTTTAGGAATGCCTGGCATGGAACAGCCTCTACCTATGACAGGTTTGTTGAAAATATTTCAGACTCAAGATACTGTAAATGTTATAGTATCCCCCTTTGTTTGAAGAATTACATGCACAATTCACATTGGTACCCTTCAAACCTTTTTCTATCTAGAAATTGAGAGTTTATAAATTCGTAATTTTTATAAAAGTGACTTTTGGATTTATGCAGCAGAAACAAGGATGAAAATGGGAAGAGTTTATTTCTTTTAAGATTAAAAAAATCGATATCTTTCTCATTGTTACTCAGATGAAGGGTTAAAGGGTAAAGTGGAGGATTGCTTGAAATCGTTCAACAGTTTCTTTAACGCTAGACCTTTCTCGGTTTGAAATTTGAATTGAAACAAAGATGGTTTGTTTGTTTGTTTGTTTGTTTATTAAATAAACCTTTGTTTAGGTTGTCCTGATCAGTTCCCCTTACCAACAAGCTTAACGGATAAAAGCATGTCAGACCATCAGTTTATGTCCAGTAAGGGCATGTCAGATATGGTTTATGGCATGTCACAGGACAGCATGGACGGGTTCAGCATGTCGATGGACATGCAAAGACTTCAAAATGAAATTCAAAACCAGAGAGACTTCGGTAACAATTAGATATTTATTTATTTATTTATTAATTAAATCTTGTTGAAGTGTTTTCTTAAGATCTATAGTTTTACCGCCTTTTGACCAACATTACTGACTTATGATTTTCCCAACAGAGGGAGGTCAAATTAATTAACCTCCCTTGGGACAGTTAAGTAAAATAAATAACCACCCGCTCTGCGAAGTTTTTGGGGGAAAATTCGCGCATTTCTATCTCTAAAAACGATAAAGTTGTATACAACTTATTTTTCGGGAAATTAAAAATTTGACTTAATTTTACTAAAAATCATCCCTCGCTGTGCTCTGAATAATTTGTGGGCAAAGTTGGTCTTGGGAACCCTTTGTAAAGTAAAATTCCCTTAACTTCCCTGTGAAGTAGTTGTAAAAAATTATTTTACTCGTGGCAGTTAAATATTTTGCACAAAATCATAAAGAATTATTATAGTTTCAGGATGTAATGGAGATATATCAGAACAGCTGGACTGGACAAATACGCCATCTTGGAATAAGGATTCACCATCTTGGAACAGAAAACATAAACAAAACTAGATTATTTTCCGCCCTTTCGAAAAACGGATAAACGATCGACTTGATACAAGGATCCACCATCTTGGGTCGAGTATCCATCATCTTGGAATAAGAATCCGCCATCTTGGAACAAGAATCCGCCATCTTGGAACAAGGATCCGCCATCTTGGAACAAGAATCCGCCATCTTGAATCAAGAAACCGACATCTTGGATCCCTCAGCAAATTTGAAAATGTTCGAACAAAGCAGAGTTAAAATGCTGCTGAAACTGAATCAAAATTTACAACTTAGTGATATCCACTTGATAATAAAAATACATGTTATGATCTAGAAAAAGTAACATCTAGTCAATATTTGTGTAATTTTCGTCTTTCCCATATTTTTAGTTATATAAAAATTGTTACTTTATCTATTTGGTTTCAACATAAAGAAAAAACTTAAACGCAATGGAATATCTACTGAATAATAATTTTCTTTTTATATGAATGTTCCGAAATAAATGTTTATTTAGATTTAATATTTAAAACATAAGTCGGTAAAAAAAGGGTTTTTTTCAAAGAAGCATTTTTATTTAGAGATAAAAACACAGTGAGCAGGTTAATACCTGCTGAGCGCTTAATATTTTTAGTTTTTAATAGTTTCCCCTTTTTAGTATTTGAGAGTTTAACCCCTAATATACGGCAGGACAAACTGGACTCACATAGATATAAATCATAGAAATTATTCTGTAAGTATTTTCTAGGGGCAGACAATGCTTACTCTATAGGGGGTTTATGATCTAACATAACTCCATTATATTTATGAGGATCAATTTGTCCCCCCCCCTCCCCTCCTCCGCACCCTGCTTCAATATAACCCTTTCAACTCTTCTTTTAATATAAAATCCTTTATCATTCCTTTCCTTTTCCTTTTTTTTTTTTTGCTAATTCAGTTTTCCAGAGATTGCAAGCTTCCCTTCTTTTCCAAGACAGATATCTGAAAGAACGAACTGAAATAGAGTTCGTTCTTACAGATATCTTCTCTCAGGGTTAAACCTTGATAAAGATATCTGTAAGAACGAACTGAAATAAAGTTTGTTCTTAAAAATATCTTCTCTCAGGGTTAAACCTTGATATAGTGTAAGAGAGGCAAAAGTTCAGAAAAAAAACAATTTGAAATTTGTAAAACTTTTCAAAATGTTTTGGAACCCTTTAAAAAAGTATAAAATCCTTAAAATTGTGGAAAAACCAACGAAGCTAAATGTCCAATACTACAAATAGTGCTCTCAATCTTTAGAATCCCTTAAGCTCCGTTCTATTTCAGTCTCTTCCTGCTCCTTCCGTCCTATCATTGGTCTCCTAGATTCACTTCTCTATCTTGCTCCCTTTAATCCGTCCTATCTCCGGGCTCCTATTTTCCTCTCTAAGTCTCTATCTCCGGGATCCCAAAATTCCGCTCTGACTCTTTGCTCCCTATACGGTGTCTCATCTTCAGGCTCCTTATACACTGTTCTAGCTCCGTAGGCTCCATATATGGTTGTTCCTTTCCCCGGAATATATTTTCTCCGTCACATCTCTGGGATCTCTTATTTCCGTCCTATCTCTCTATACTCCCATGCTTTAGACTTTTTACACTCCGTATCTAAACTATGGATCCCTGGATCCATGTTTATAAATAGAATCCACGGTCCCCTCCTATAGCCTTTTATGGTATATATTATAGATGGTCCAAGAGGGGAGTTTAAACACATTTTTCTCTGAAAACGACGTCAATATATTGCTTTATGGAGACTGTAGATTAGATCACGAACGTTTACAAATATTGTATGATGTATGCATCCAAAGTGATAGAGGAGCGATAAAGATAAAAATGTGGACCCCAATGCTGTAAATGTATGATAGCATAACATATATTAATCCAATTTTTTTAATCTGATAAAAGTTGCCTTTTTTGTCATTTAGCTTTACGGAATAACATCAAGTAAGCTGTGATATCAACGTTCCATAAGTTTTATTGAAACTTGATTAAGTATTGTGCAGTTCATGCATACAAGCATTAACTTGATTAAGTATTGTGCAGTTCATGCATACAAGCATTAACTTGATTAAGTATTGTGCAGTTCATGCATACAAGCATTAACTTGATTAAGTATTGTGCAGTTCATGCATACAAGCATTAACTTGATTTAATTGCCCTGATTCTTGAAACTCTTAAGCAGTTTTTTAAAATCCTAGTTTACAGTCAGACTTGTGTAAAACAAAAACCAACAAAAAGATTAAATCTATGAGAGGTGGGCAAAATGGCGCGAAGCGTCAAAGAAATTGTTTGTTCTTTCTTGGAAGAGCTAAGCAGGAAGGGGGTTGGTCACCTCTGTTTCAATTGGGAAAAAAATGGGATGCTCAAAATTGTAATATTTATACACTTTTTAAAAGCCATATCCCAATAAAAACTTCAATAAATGGCGCAAAGCGTCTAGGAAATCGGTTGTTCCTAATTAAGATGAGCTAGACAGGGGAAGGGGGGCAAGGGGGGATCGGGGAATTTTAATGGAAAACAAATTTTGTTGGTGATCTCAGTTTTAAGGTGAAAACTGGAGTTTTCATAATTTTTTTATTTAATCTCTTTTTTAAGTTTACAAAAAAGACTTCAGTAAAGAAGACGATCTTTGAAAAAAATGATCTTATTTTTTAATTTGTTAATTTATAATCGAATTGGTTAATGATGATGAAATGAGGTTATAATTGTATGAATATTATAACATATTAACATATTCTTCGATCATTAATTTGACAAAATGTAGACCCCCGGACTCCCGCTAGGATTATTTTGAATGATTATGACACGTGTTTCTAAATAGTAAAATATGGAGTCATCCGTCATGGCGATTCAACCGCCCGGCCTGTCGTGGGGCGGCCATCTTGCAGTACACGGTCGGGCCGGTACGTTTCACGCCGGGCTGGTACTTGCCGCGTTTGGTTGGCTTGCACACAGAGAAGGGAAGATTGGGCGAGGTAAGTTTAAGATTGGGCGTGCATAATCAGCTGTGAAAATTGATTGGACTACCCCGGGCCTTCAGAATTTTATATACCGTGGATCATTATTTATGACTGTGTTAAATTTTCTCACATACGGACTGTATATGTATGTATATATATATATGTATTTATCTATATATATTTATATACACAAAAATACACGATACAGGCTCAAATACAAAAAATTCCAATTGTTGCTTATAAAATACAAAAGTAATTACAATGAAGTTAAAACCTTACGACATTAACTATAAAACACAAATAATAAAGATGTGGAACTAACATCTACTTTTTTACTTTACAGAGGTTTGGTCCATCACCATCATCGAATTTTAAATAAAGATGTTTATTGTTACATTAGGGTGTTCATTGTTGTCCCGAAAATAAACATTTGTTTAATGAGTTCCCTGAGCTCACGTGTGGAAGAATATGTTGCTGATAAACCATTATAACAGTTTCCTGCAGCTGGAGGGTTCTACTGGGGTAACCGAAATGAATAAGACTGTACTGACGACATAAAATTCTTTGATCTTAACATTTTGAAGGTTTTAATGGTAATTTTTATGATTTGGTAAATCAAGAAAAAGTGTTTAACTGCAAGAAAACAATATTGCAAGAAGTAAGTAAAAAATTCTGTTAATTCGTGGCTTAAGTCTCATCCATTGTGGGTGACCCTGTATTCTACAGTAGTGTCAGGAATTCGAATATTTTTGCAGGAGCGTATAGTTGGTAAATACGAACACAAATTCCTCATACCTACTCTTCTATGAAAATCCATTGGAGGACATGAAGCAGAGAGATAGACAGATAGACAGATAGCTAGATAGATAGATAGATAGACAAATAGACAGATTGACAGATAGACGGATAGACAGATAGACAGATAGACAGATAGACAGATATACAGATAGACAGATAGACAGATAGACAGATAGACAGATAGACAGATAGACAGATAGACATATAGACAGATAGTCAGATAGACAGATAGACAGGTAGACAAATAGACATATAGACAGTTACACATAGACAGATAGACAGATAGACAGATAGACAGATAGACAGATAAACAGATAGACAGATAGACAAATAGACAGATAGACAGATAGACAGATAGACAGATAGACAGAGAGACGGATAGATAGAAAGACAGATAGACAGATAGAAAGATAGACAGATAGACAGATAGACAGATAGACAAGATAGACAGATAGACAGATAGACAGATAGACAGATAGACAGATAGACAGATATAAAGATATATATAGATAGATATTTGGATAAATAGATGCATAGATACATGCAGATAGAGAGAAGAACTGACAGACAAAACTATCCAGAATAAAGAAATTCAACCGAAAAAAAGAAAGATTTTGTCGACAGAGAGAAACTAAAAAAACAGACAAACAACGGAGATGTGCAGTGAAGAAGAAAATAATGAAAAATTTAAGATTAAGAATTCGAAGAAAACTTTGTTTAAAATTGTAATACATAAAAATTCTAAATACATTTTACATGCCTTGGTTTTTTTTGTTTGCATGTTGATGTATTAAACATTTTTAAACAAGAAAGATTTTAAGATTTTCTATGCAAGAAAGATTTCAACGCTAATTCAAAGGGAAAGACTTTCAAATGGGACTTAATGGGAGTACTTTCAACTTTTAATGAAAGGAAAAGTATTATCCTTTGGTCAAGGTTATAATGCAAGGAAAGTTATTTCAGAGGTGTACTCATCTTTTGTACTGCAATGTACTGTCTCTGAGCGGTAATGTAAACACAAGACGGATGTCGAAGCCTGGCATGGGATCCACTTTTTACATAAAATCAATGAAATGTTCTGGTCATAGAATTACTACTATGTGAATCATCAAAACTATCAAAATTTAATGATTTTAACCTCCTCGGATACTAAACGAACACTGAGGCATCTATTCTTGTTTACAAATTCCGCCCAGAGAGAATTGGTTTCAATATGTACACAGAGTATTCGCAACTGCAATTAACTTTCCTTGCATTATAACCTTGCCTTTAGTAGTAAAACACTGCAACAGTTTGCATAATTGAGAACACGCGCTATAAGTAATACATCATACGCAAGCACAGCTGCACGTGAACGCATAGTAGTGTACGCAACCAAGTCACGTGTACGCATGCTAGTATACGCAAAGAAGTCACGTGTTCAATAATTGGGAACTAATATGATGTAATTATTTAGTAATGGAACGCAGAAATTATCATAAACATTGTTGTTTATTTTTACATGATAACTCCGAACTCGATATTTATGTCGCCAGAACTTTCCAGAGCCCGCGATTTAAAAAATTCGGGAAAATACGGCTCGGGTCTAAGCTGTCGTTGGGCCTTATTTATTGAGCTTTCGGATTCAAGTTGCAT